GATTACCCCATCTTGAGGCCACTGCTTCATCTACGCACACCAAACAGCACACGAGGACACTGGTACAAGCTCGTCATACCTGATTTGAAGCGGGTCGCTCACTAACTCTGTTTCTAACGCAGAGTGGTGAATATATAGAACGACCTGCCTCAGCACGTAGTTGAGGCAAAGTCGGTGTCGGAATTTAAGAAATTCCTGGACAAACACTTTGCCGACACAAAGTATATCGAGCGCACTCCAACATAATGGGTCTTTGTCCCTGAGTGACCTTAGAGGCAGCTACACAGAAAAACCTCTAATTGCCGCTTCCAACCAGTAATCATCATCATCCTCATTCTCCTCATCATCATCATCACCATCGTCATCATCATCATCATCATCAATCCTCCTCCTCCTCATCATCATCATCAACAACAACGTCATCCTCCTCAACATCATCAGCAGCAGCAACGACATCATCATCATCATCATCAAATGCGCAACCGCGTGTGTCGTCCATAATTTCTGCTTATGGGCGGTTTCAACTTTCCTCGAATACGGTGACCCGAGATCGAGCTTCTCCCTGGCCACTGTGAAGTTGAGACGAAGTTTGCGGAGATGTTTGAAACTGGGGCCTCACAGCACAGCCGACGCGGATTATCGCGCGCTCGACTTTATCGTACCTGGACTTGTTGCTGACCAGCTGCGATCAACATGCGCATGATGTTCAAATCCTTGAGCCCCTGGGAGCTAGTGATCACTCGATGGTAATGGCGAGCTTAGAACTGCCACTGCCGTTTACTCCTCCTCCTCTGGAGCCAGCCTTCATCTACTGGAAGGCGGACTGGAATGGCCTCATTCGAGCCGCAAGCTTGATGGACTGGTCGCTACCACAGAATTGATCATTTGGAACGTGTTGATCTATCGTAAAAGAGGGAGTAAAATCACTGTGCGCCTGATTTGTGCCCCTTAAATCTCGGAGAGCTGGACCAATCAAGCCACACTGGTTTGAACATGAGTATGTCAAACTGGATAGACGACGACGCCGGCTATGGAATAGATTCGTGCACTTTGGCTCTGCCGAAGCTTACGAGACGTACAAGCGGCAACAAAATTTCTGCAATAGCGTGAAAACGAGCAAACTCTAAAACTTCGAGCAGCACCTTGCATTCGCAGCAAAAACATCTCACAAAAGGATCTTTGCATACTTGAAGCGACGCGTGAAGCCGACATGTGATGGGCTCAGATGGACAGCCTATAGTTTCCAGCACTGAGCGTGTTTCCGCATTGGTGACGCACTTTGCTTCCGTTTTTTCGTCTGACCAGGCGTCCATGCTAAGTTCAATGCATATCGCCCCTACTGAACTGGACAGCCTGGATTGTAGCGTTGAGGATGTGCACAAATTGCTCGCCAGTCTTGACGGTACCAAGCCTACCAGGCTTGATGGGCTCCATCCACTGATCCTCAAGTCGCTATTGGCCATCATCTCGCCTTCGGTGACTGAGTCATTCAACAGGTTGCTCTCCGCTGGTTCATTGCCGAGCGACTGGGAATGCTCAGTGGTGAAACCGATTCCAAAAGGCGGTGATCTATGCAAGATGGACAACTATCAATTGAAATGCCTGACCTCTGTTTTGGCTAAGACACTGGGGAAGATTGTGAAGCGAGGTCTTCTGCAGTATCTCGAATCGAAAAGCATCTTGACGCCCGCGCAACACGGTTTTATGAAAGGTCCGTCATGTATCACAAACCTGCTGCTCTCGAGACATGAATGCTTCCAAGCGCTAAACCAAGAGAAGTCAATTGACGTTATTTACATCGACTTCAGTAAAGCATTTGATAAGATGAACCACGAGATCATCCTTCGGAATCTGAAGATGTGCGGTGTTGGTGGCTCACTGCACCAGTGGTTCAGTGACTTCCTTATTGTAGGACGTGTTGGATGCAGGTGGACAACTACTTGACCGAGTGGTACCCCTCGACCAGTGGCGTCCCGCGGGGCACAGTCCTTGGGTCCATTTTATTCTTGATCCACACCAACAAGTTGCCTCAGTTTTTCAGTTCACCTTGCGCGTTGTTTGCAGATGGCCTTAAGGTATGGAGGGTAATTAAGGCGCCAGACGACTGCGACCTGCTTCAGCGTGACCTTGACCGCCTTTCCATGTGGTCAGCAAATGTCAGCCTACCGATCAATCCGGTCAAGTCGGTATTTATGAGCCGGGTGGTAATGGTCGAGTCTACAATGTGACCGGCCTTCCGTGAAAGATCTCAGGGTACTCACACGCTGCGATTTGAAATCCTTTGAAAACATGAACAGGCCTTACCAAAACGGAATGCGCATGCTCTGAGCGCTCAAACGCAGCTTCTGTACTTGGTCCGAAGATGTTGCCACTCGCCTCTTCTCTTCCATTATCAGACCAATGCTAGAGTACAGCTCACCCGCCTACTGTCCGCTCACTCGGGGCGAGGTGCAAAGGATTAAGCGGGTACAGCATGTTGCCACAAGGCTCATCCCCAGTTTACGAAGTGGGCCATATTAAGACCGATACAAGAAACTACGGTTGTACACCCTGTCTTATCGTCGAATGCGGGTTGACCTTATCATGACGCACCAGATATTACATCTGGACGAATACCCCATGTTAAGGCCGCTGCTGCATCTGCGCACACCAAACAGCACACAAGGACACCGGTACAAGTTCGTCGTACCGGATTCGAAGCGTGTCGCTCACCAACTCTGCTTCGAGCGGAGGGTGGTGAATATTTGAAATAACCTGCCTACAGAGATAGTCAAACAAACTCGGTGCCGGAGTTTAAGAAACTCCTGGACACACTCTTTGCCGACTTGAGATATCAGAAATAATCACCATCATCATTGGTAGATTTGCTTGAAGAATATTAGATGCAGCTACACAGAGGCACCTCTACTCGCTGCATTTTCCTAGTATCAGTATCAGTATCATCATCGTCGTCTTCAACACCATCATCATCATAAACATCATCATCCTCATCATCGTCTCTTCGGAACTGCCATCACGCGCAGATTCTGAACGTGAGATCAGATTATTGTAATTGCATAAGGCCGCAGGGGCTGATAGAATCCCCCAAATCCTCTTCAAATTCGGGGGACCTGCTCTAGTATATAATTTACAAGAGTTGCTACTGAACATTTGAAATCAGGAAACTGTCCCGACAGACTGGAGGCGCTCCGTCATAGTCCCAATTTTCAAGGGAGGCTTCCGTTCGGAATGCGGCAGTCATAGAAGGATCTGTTTGATCTCAATTGCTTCTAAATTGCTTGCGTCTGTTCTCCACAGGCTCACTTTCACTCATGAAGGCCAGATTCGTGAAGCGCAAGCCGGATTTCATCGAGGTCGGGGCTGCATCGACCACATCTTCACTTTGCATCCATTGTTGTAGAACCGCCATGTTTATTGGCGACCCACCGTTGTCGTGTTTCTTAACATAAAAGGTGTCTTCGATTCACTCGATCGATGTACCTTTTGGGACTCTGCTGAGGAAATGTGTGCACGATAAATACGTAAACATTATCAGAGCGCTGTACGCGCATAGTTCGGGTAGAGTGAGGGTTTATGGCAAATTGTAACCGTCCTTCAGTATCTCCAGCAGTGTGAGATAAGGTTACTCGCTGTCACCTTCCCTCTTTAACTTCGCCATTGACGAAGTCATAGAAGCAGCTTTTGCTAGACACAACCTACAAGGTGTGAAGCTACTTCCTGGTGAGCGACTTTTCGATTTGGAGTATGTGGATAATATTGCCCTAAGCTGTGACAGCTCCCAAACATACCGAGCAGCACTGGACCGATTAGCACCGGCTGTCAGTCGTTTTGGGCTATGCTTTACTCCATCGAAATGCAAAGTACTTCTCCAATATTGGTAGGGACTTATCACTGCGCTGGTGCTTGGTGATGATGGTCTAGAAGTCGTTCAGGAATTCAAATACCTGCGCAGCTATATTAGCGCCCGTGAGATCTAAGATGAGATTACGAACCTTATAACAAAAGCTCAAGGTGTTTTTGCCAATTTTCACCACCTGTGGCGCAGACGCGCTGTCACTCTCGCCCTGAAGGGCAGAGTTTATAATGCTGCCATCCGTTCAACCCTCTTTTACGGTTGTGATACCTGGCCCATCAGATCGACAGACATAAAGAGGCTAGTTAACGTCTATCATCGCTGCCTTCGCAGCTTAGCTAAAGTCTGGTGGGAGCCCCGTGTGAGCAGTGAACCTGTTCGGCCTCGCATATCTGGTGCAAGAAGAGCGAGTAAATGGTTCAGCACTGTTATATCACCCGCCAGGCTCCGATGGCTAGGCCACGTGTTGCGCATGCCAGCCCACCGGCTCCCCTGACGTGTGTTGTTTGCGCGCTTGAGGTGTGAATGGACGAAGGAGAGGGGAGGCCAAGCGATCGCTTCGTTGGAAGAAATGAAAACCCTCACTTCGACGCCGGCGTTGGTTGGTGCATCCCGACTATCTGTCTGGGGTCGTAAGGACGATGAACACGTTTGGTTGGACACATTTGTTGACATGGCAAAGAACCGGCCTTAGTGACGTTTGCGTTGTGAGTTTCTTTGTCCATCCCCCTCTTTAGAATCCCCCTCTAATTCCGATCACGTTCAAAACGCATAACATAATATTTGGCATCAAATTACTTGCTTGGAATCTTTTTTGTAATGTAATTCTTTTAGTATCTTTTTGTATTGGGGCACATTAGCTGACTTGTGTTTCTCACCCTCAACCAGTTTGTATTGATCTGATCTCGCATTTTCTCATTTATTATTTCTTTTTATCATGCTTGAACGAGCGGTTCGTACCTGGTTTTGCCACATTTCGGTGCTATGATCATCTCTAAATTTCTGACATGTGCAACCAATATTGAGTACTTGCTCGGAGCCACTTACGCATCCCTTTCTCTGCGATTGCACATTTAAACATTGTTGTCCACCATTGTACTCTTGCTTTCACGTTTCTAATCAGTCATAGTGTTCTTGAACACTGCAGCACATGTGTCAGATAGGCGAAGAGCAAGTGTGTACATCGCAAACCTCCACTTCACATTCTGTCTCGGGGATCTCAACGGAAGCTCCGACTGCGTCCTCCACTTCTTGCCGATTGGGATGTCTTCGATGCCCAGCCCTCTATCTTTATGGACACTTTCTACAAACCTTTACTTCTGATTGGTTAGAGGTCGACAAAAAGAAGCTTTTCTACCAATTTGTACATAAGTGCTTTGGAGACAATTTTTGGCGTCGTCTGACGACAATCGTTTGCGAAAATCCTGGTAAGTATTTTCCAGTCGAATTCGATTGACCGATAGACACCTTCCTTAAACGCCTAGCTGTCGAATAACGATGTCCAATCGGGCTTTGTTAAAAGACTGCAGCGACCATCCCCTTTACTTATTCGATATATTGCGTACTAATCACTTGTGTTCATCGATCAAAATTCAACCGATTCATTTCCTTCGTTGTCTTTGCGACTGGACTGGGCCTTAAACTGTTGCGACGGTTTTCGTACTTCTTCAACTCGTTGAGCTATTGATGAGCTATGCTGGATGATGCATTCGAACCTCACAAGAGCGAGTCTTCTCAGACTGATCAATGGTCAGAGGTAAATGCACCTGCAAGTTGGTGAGTGAGACTAGAACGTCACTGATATCTGAAAGATCGTCACCAAATCACCGTCGTGTAATTATGCTTTTGAGCTAAGATTGAGGATCCAAATCGTTTTGCGTAAATTAGGGCGTTCGGGTAGTACACCAGCCAACGTACAACCTTGGGTCTCATCAAACGTCAAACATATCATTCATCGGCCATTGCCAAGCTTCAAAAAGTCACCTTATCTGCTAATTCCCAATGATTAAAATCATCCCAATACTAATGTCTCGCCTAATTTCCCCACAATTATCTTACACACTTCCGTTCCCCACTGTCAGCTTTGCTTCCGTAGTCCCCATCGTCACTGTCATCCCATCATCAAAAACCTCTTATCGGGTCACCCTCCTTGATTACCTGGCGGCGTACAACGTCCGCACTCTAGTACAACTAGGTCAGCAGACTGAACTCCCACGCACATTGGACACTCTAGTGTAGACGTCTGCTGCGTGGCATAAACCGGGATCAATGACTCATGGTGTCGTTGACTAGTAATAATAATGTGTCAGCTGTATGCCGTAACGGCGCTTCGCTGCCGTGCGACTACCACCAGTCGCGCGTGGGCTGAATATACTGCGTGGACACCCACCTTTACGCGGATTCGAACCGGTGACCTTATGACCGCAAGCCAGGCGTGCAGACCACTCGACCACCGGTCGACTAGTTGTATCTGTTTTGTCCTTTCGTTGTTGGTTACTCGCATCCGGTGACGATGATGCGGGAACCGCTGGTTGAACCGGGATAGGCATCGTTCTCAGATCTTGGGCTGAAACATCATTAGTCGTGTGGATTGCTGTGAGCAAACGTTTGTGTGCAGCTCGTCTGGCGATATCAGCTGAGGTTAACCCACGGAGTAGCACTGACACCGATTGCTTGTAGTTGTTGCGTATATGTTAGGATTTGACTAATCCTAACTACCACAACCACAGTGATCCTCGATCAACCGCTATCGATCACTGCATTGAACTCTCCGTCATAGCCAGTGCAGCTTTCACATTTGGTGGGCTGACTCAGTACGGTTGTCCAACTTCAGGCCTGTAGCCCAACTTGGTCAAATACACAGATTTTGGAAATGTGCCCATTCTTTTAACACCGGGTTGCAACAATTTGGCGACGGAGGTGGGATGGATCAAGTCGGTGTTTTTACAGTGACATGGAATGCAATTTTTTCCCAAGAACGTGAGCAATTTGGAGCCGCTCGGTTACACATGATCTGGATTTCACCAGATACTTCTCTCCAGCCAAGTAGAGAGCCGGCACTTAATCATGATCGAGACCGTCACTCCACAGTCGACAGTCCTCAGGTAATTACGAGTGATCGAGACCGTCACTCAACATTTGCCTCTCCAGTCGGCAGATGCCAGAATACCGAAGAGCTTTCAGGTGACGCAGCAATCAACACTGGCTTATAGCAAATGTTCCGTGCTGAAAATAAGGGACAGCAACAGTCCTACTTCCCTTGCAGCTGCAACAATCCAGAAGACCCCCAAAAATGTCATGCCATTAAAACTTTTCTTCGCGAGTAAGGTGTTAGGATTAGACCAATCCTAACTACCCCAACCACAGTGATCCTCGATCAACCGCTATCAATCACTGTATTGAACACTTCGTCATAGCCAGAGGAGCGTTCGCATTTGGTATTATGGGCTGACTCAGTACGGTTGTCCAACTTTAAGTCTGTAGCCAAACTTGGTCAAATACGTAGATTCTGGAAATGTGTCCATTCTTTTACCACCGGGTTGCAACAGTATGCACCTGCTGACTGCTTCCCGACGTTGCCAAGGTGACCAACCACGAACTTTATACGCTACTTCCCAGTGTTACTAGTTCAGATACTGTATTATTCGCGGATACGAATGCGCAAGCTCAGAAGCCTAGCTTTTTAGTAAAAATGGGTTTAACTCAAAGAACGAAACATGTGAGCGTTTGTTTCGGGTTCGCTCCGAGAATCGACTGTTTTTTAGCAGAACTGTTTTCAGGCGCATTGGACGACAAGGTGCTACTTAGTTTCCCCCTGTACCTTAGCAGTGATGGACCCAAGTAGACTAGCACGCTATAAGTTTCAACTGGCGTTGCTTTTTCCTTGACTCACTTCTTCTGAAATACGTATATTGAATCTGATCATACTTCAACACGCTGTCGTTTTCCCATGAAATTTACCGGTGACATACCAAACTTCTGCTCCTATTGGCAACTAAGTAGTTCTCCCAACCATCGGTCAAGCCTACCAGGATTCCCTGCGTACCGAATTTCCTTCCTATCACTTCATTGCCATCGAGATTCAGGGGTCTAATATCCCGGTTGCTACGCACGACGCGGGATCCTGTTTGCGACAGTAACGGCTGTCACTGGGTATCCGAGAGTTCCCTTAATCTGTTGGAATCCATAAGGAAACTCCCTGCTGGCACCTAGCCGGCCCGTAACGTTAAGGATCATAAGCCTACCTTGTAATCCAAGGGCGCGCGTTCGAGCTTGCGCAAGGACTGGGCGACCCTCGCTCGACTTGATGGCTCCACGATAGCAGAGCATCGATACTGCCTACCGGTGTACTGCTGATGCCTGTGCTGGCACCGAAGACAATGTGACTAGATGAGCTATTAAGCGCGAACTAAAATGGGATCTGCCTACTGACAAGCAAGCCTGCTGAATTCAGTGATTCAGATAAAGTAGGGGGTAGCATCGCCAAGCAATTACCTCAGACTCCTCCAGCTGATCCGTGCCACTTTTCCCAAGAAGCTATTCGTCAGCACCTCATCTGGCTTGTTTCGCGGAACACTTTCCGGAGAAATGCAGTTACTTAGGTGGTGCAAGCTGAGTCATCCCCGGTTAGCCTAGAAACTCACTTTAAGACTAAGTTTCAAAACATGATCACAAGTCTCAGTAGCTTTCCTGCGGCTAGTCCGGATTATCTAAGGGTGGTGATTAGGTCTTCTGCAACGTATAAACCCACTTGTTCATATAAGTCTGGAAGGGGCGGACCACCCCAACCAATTGGAGTAAATCGATCCTAGTACGCTAACTGCAGGAGAGTCAGTCAGATGCCGATACGGATCAATTCACTAGCCTCTTGTTTCGTCTGCTACCTTACTGCGGAAAATGAAATACTAGATTAGGGGAGAGCGAGTATTTTTTTCTGTCGACGGTACAGCTGTATAGACCAAGTATTTACTATGCGACAATTTTTATTACGGTGTCACGCGTACCGTGAACCAAAAGTTACTATGTCTGTGGACCTCAAGAGTGTGTTTAGTTCATACGACCAATCCTTTTCTTTTCAAAATAACTGTATAGAAAGTTGTTCCTATGAGATATGTGAGCATTTTGCATGCCCCTTTACTCGTACACGACAGTTCATCTCAGTGTTCGCGGTAACTATTTTGATGTCTTTCCGACAACAAATGGCGTTCGTGAGCGTTGTCCTAATTATCCATTCTTGTTTAATTTCGCTATGGATTTCGTCGTTTTAGCGTTCCGTTGCGCAACCTCATGAGTCAGGCGCCGTAACGTTTGGTGGAAAACTGGTTAGTCTGTATTATTCATACGATATTTTTAGGGTGGCCTAGTCATACTCAGCTAAACCCTAGTGTGGTCCCATCGTTTGTTACTTGTCTTGCACCTACAAAGTGCATAGTGCTGCATTTGGCATTTGATGAACAGGAACTGGAGGTAGTCAATAAATTCACCTATGCTGCTAGCTGTGTTAACAGCGATGAGCGCTCGGCTGTTGAAGAGCCGTGCATACAAGGCCACAGTGAAGGACATTCTACTCTGTGTGAGTGGAGCTTGGCCCCTTCGGCTTATGGCTCCCTCAACTATTTTGCCATCGCAGCCTGCGAAACATTGCTGGTGTTGCTTGGCAACACAGTATCCGCAACGAGGAGGTGCACGGGCGAGTAGGCGGTAATAGAATAACTAAGAACATCGAATATGTTGCGTTGGCTTAGGCAAATGTTACTCATACTCAGTTGTTGCTTATCGAGGACGGTATTGTCTTTTGCCGAATGCAGGATGGCTCAAGCGTGGACGAAATTTGATTTGTTGGCAGGAAACCAAGTCACTGACGACTAAGCAGGGTGCTCTTGGTCTGTCTCGCTTCCCATGTTCATGACACATGGCTATAGGACGTGACCGGCAACTGGCCCTATTGGCGCGTTTACTGTCGTCTTCCGGTCGGACTGCCTGTTTAACGTTTGTCTGATGCTGAGTTATCTAAGTGAACATTGTAATGAAGCTGTCTCACCGATACCGCTTTATCATCGCATACTAGCCATCATTATTTGACTGTGGGTAGTTTCAGGTGTGTACACGTTGAACCCCAATTTGGCTTAGGAAATTCATGTCTCATACTAAGTCTATTATTCCTCTTCACTTGAACTGGCTGGTTTGTTATTTCATTTGGTGATGATTCCCTTCAATATGTTTCGTTCATACCGCTCTGTTATTGCACGCAACATAAAGCGTCGGATAAAATCAGAACAAGCTTCCTGTGATCTGTGACCAAATTGTCCCTTTCCGCGGGTGCTCCCCTATTCATCTCGAATTTCGCTTCTAATCCACTTCGCCTGCAAATCGTGTATTATCGAGTAGACGTTCTGTTTTCCAATCTATGGCCTACCACCTGAGATTAATGGGTACCGTGGTCCCCATTACACAGATCATCGCGGAGCGGCAACTCCAACTCCGTAGTCCCAACTAAGGCGGAGCGTGACGATCGTTTTGGTTACTTCGGTGCAGTTGATTTCTGTCGAAGTTTGATAACCGTCTGCATTTCACCATAGTTTTCTATTGTTCACCTTCCACTAAAATTTCCAAATAGCAGCAACTTTCATGGTCATCCATGACAATCACTATGCACCCTTCCTATCCGATAACCCCATGTACTTGAATCTCATCTTGCTTTGTTGGGTTGCTGACGATGAGCTACCCTGAAATAGAAGAGCAGGGTAGTGTCCCTCTTCGCTTTTAAACGTTGCATATCTGCATTGGGTAACAACTTCCGCTGGATGTTTGCGATGTCACTGTTGTGAACGCCGAGTGAAAATTAAAGGCTGCCCAGAACGGGTTGGTATATGTCCTTAAAATGTGCAGGCAACTGATGGTGGGATCCTTATCCTCACCCTGTTTGATGCTCAACCGTTTCGCTGTCTTTTAAGGCCGCGCCGGGCCCTTTGTACCAGATTTCTTAAAATCTTAATGCTCCTTTATTCAGGTCAGGACCCAAGTTCCGAACTCGCGATAAGACTATTTCTGCGCCGAGTGTTCCTAGATCCGGTAGCGCTTCCTGTACCCATCACCGGTGGCGCAATTTCCCACCGATCGCCCACTTCGAAATCTGGATCGAACCAATTCGCAAATTGGCGCGGAACTTCTCATAAAGCAATCCACTCCCTTTCGATGGGAGTGCAGACTGAACACCCGGAAGAGCCTCACATCCGTCCAAGTGGATCATCAGTATTACCTTCAGATTGCAGGTGCTTCCAGTCAGCCTTTTCGCATTTTCCAATTGGTTGATTTCGTTTTCACGCTTCGGAACTGTGGTTGTTGTTTAGTCTGCTATAATCGCAACATAGTTTTAGCTGCGTTTACTTTTTGGTATAGTTTCGGCATCTTCCTGTTCCCTATTCTCGTGATATTTATGAGAGCAACTGAGCGCCTACACGAATGTATTGCGGCACAATAGCTGAAAGTGTTTTCCACCTCTAGCTAACGTGTATAATGATGATGATGCCTACAGGAATTTTCCCGAGCTTAGTGGCTCATCTACTTCGGGAATAGTGTGTTGTTCTTGTATTTCTCGTTAACCATAGTTCTCTGACATTCGCTATGAACTGAGAGTTCCCACCTCAAATCTGTCCTTACTAGGCGCTGGCGTAGTTGATCTCATAAATTGTACCTGTCCCATCTCGTCTTTCCTCAGCTCTTACCAGTCCGATCATCCAACATCCGCCCCACTGGTTGTACGTGCGTCCTGCTCGGGTCCTGCTGTCGTGCTCAATCATCCACACTCCAAAGGACCACTTTGGCCCGCCGCGCAGCCACTTATGCATGTACTGCACTCGTACCCACTGGTTCATCAAGCCCGAATAGTGTTCATACTTTATGGTCCATTGCACAAAGGTGCCTGATCAGCGATCTCATTCCACCATCCACATGTGACATATTGCAGATTAAAAATTTCCTGTGAACCATTTGTGCCCACGTTGTGCCATGAATTGCATATCGGTTTCTTGCCACTTTGTTTCGGATCTCGGTGTGTCCGAACAACTGTATTATTCTAAAGAGGAGCATGCATGTGTCTTACCCACATTCCACTAGTTTGTTTACGAGGCTCAATCGAAAGTTCATACAAACAAAGGAATAAGATCGAGAGTAAGAGCAACGAGTGGTTGAACGTGCGATCCAGATGCAGTGGCAAGATGGCGTCAACGGAACGGTTTTTTTGGGTTATTGTTGGTTAACTTTATAGTTGATTTTGTAATTACCTCATTTAGTTCAGCCAGGTTCCATCGCATGCAGAAAGGTTCCAGACAATCGTTTTGCCCTGTTCGGATTCGTCATTAGTGCGTTACACTAGGAGTCGAACCCACGTCCACTGTACGCCAGCGGCTCAAACCACTAGGCGACGGCTGCAGACCGTCATGGCTTGCCAGCCATCTACGATGTCGCGCTGCCATGTAAGTTACAAAGAGGATATGGTTGGTCCCTGTGCCCCTTGCTGAGGCTGATGTTGCATTCATGATGCTTCTTCACCGCAGTTGGGCTAAACCAACTTGCACTTGAACTAGGTCTTTTTAATGTGGATAAAATTCGTTATATGTTATTTGGTTTGTTCTGCGTACTTGATAATCTTCTCCTTACTTGCACACGTCTCTCACGCAACTTGTGTTAAAGTTGCGTAATTTTATTGCGTGGTATATTTTAAATAACTTTCGTACATTTTGTACTTATCACGGATTCACTTATAACCAATTTCTTCTATATGCTCATTTAGCGAGTATTTATGTCGTCATATGCGTTTACTTTAATCGATGTCGGCATTTCGAATGATTGGCTGTTGTTTGACATCCCAGGTGTGGCTGCGCTTGATGTGCATGTTGACAAGGTGCCTACCTGTCTATTACCCACTACCTCGTCCATACTGGCTCCAGGAGACAGTTGGTCGTTGCTGGAGGGGACGGGGTGCACGGTCCTTGTGGTCGTGCTAGGCTCGAAGAGTGGTTCCATGCACTCAGTGTGGAGCGGACTACGGTCCAGCCACCGCCTTGTGTGCACTTGATTCCCCAAATACAGCGTGCTTGTGTTTGTCTGTGAAGGAGTGTGGGCCGGCTCCGTTGATGAAACGTGGCTCCCATCCGCATGCCTCCTGGTCTTATTCCTTCGGGTTTACGCTGGATATGGGGTGTGTGGTTGGAGCTGTGGGTGGTGCAGCGCAAGCCATCCATGGTCCCTCTGTAGGCGCAGGCGTCCTGTGGCTGACCACAGTGACAGGCAAATCCGAAACCGGATGCCGCCAACCATGGTTGGTCCCTATGTGCAACTTAGCAGAGTCGCTGTTTAAACAGAAGCTCCCAATAATGCGAGTGGATGAGAGTGCCAACATCACTGGCATATACTAAAAACCGCGTCTCTCAGTTTATCGAACGCAGTACAGAGGAAACCTCACGCACCACCTTTCAAGAAGCAATGCAAAAAAGAACAACATCCAAATTGTCACTCGTCGCCTCCGTACCACGCTGTCATGTAACTGGCCATTCGATATCCAGCTTTCTTTTGTCCACTGCGCAATAATGGTCCTCTCATACGTTGGGGGATAGCATGACGCTAGTCCTGATTACTTCGGCTCTGTGCATCTAGACAGATTTTTACACCCATTTCCACTGTTTTTATCAGTGCATCCAAGAAGGAAAGTTTGTCTCATTCTGGCCTTTTGTGAACCTTAAGTCATCTACGGTTTCCAGTGGCGGTATATTCGGGAGCGCTCTCGGCGGCGACTGAACTGCCAAATTCCCCAAACACCCCGACAATATGAACATTCCTAACGACTTAAGCACATGTAGGACTTCCGGATACATCGTCAATACACCGATTGGATTTTTGCGCTCGCGAAGTGACTGGTGAAAGCTGGAGGCGCTGTTACAATAGTCAGCAGCGGACGATCCTTTGCGGAAACATCACCAGCATATCTTCGACCTGATGTCGCAGAGGATCATTTGTTGCGTCGAATCCGAGGTCATTCTGCTCTCGCTGATTCACGTATATCCACTACGACTATCCTTGTAGAACAGATGTTAGTAACGGTAAATGATCCTGACCGTTGATAAGGACTGACACCAGAAATGTATCTAACGATCGGCATTCACGAGGTGTTACCTGGTCTATTAGTGAATGCTTTGCAGGATCGGTGTGTGTATAACATGTTTTCGATGTGCTACAGGCAACTTCGGGGTGACCTCGTCCTCACCTATCGCATACTCACAGCTCAGATCGGCCCTGATTTATTTAGACTGTTCCATCCCACTCGGATGCCAACACTTTGTGGTCATCCACTGAGGTTGCACACACCCCGGTCAGACCGGGTTGGAAGTGATTCTCAGTTATCACGCAGGGTTATGGACTCTTGGAAGTATTAATGACACCAACGGGGAGAGTTCAAACACCGACTTGACGCCCTTCAACTGCAGTTTAAAACCTTCCACTTCACATCGTAGATTTGAATTTATATATTGTAGCTTACTCCACTTTAAACTTTTAATTTACATCCCAAAATCGCTACACTTGTTGTTTCTGCTTGCCTCACTTTTGTTTTCTTCCAATTTTATTTCTCTTCATGTGACCAGTACAGCGGGGACTGCTACTGCAGGGCACGTGGACATTGTTTGGTTGATCATGGAGTGAATCGTGTGTGTTGACTTGTCTCCTCCTCGGAGATCGCTCCTAAAATTTCGCTTTTGGATCAACGACATTCTGAAAGGTAGAACAATCACGGGATTCTCCTAATGTTCCGATCCCATTTGAACTTGAATCACTCTGGCAAGGTTGACGAAACTATGAAGTGATTGCTGCAATGTGGAAATTTCCTCAACAAGTGTTACAGAGCGATCTGGAACTGAAGACTGTACCGTGTCACATCTGAATCATTCTAGTTCAGATAGGATACCCATGCACACGATGACTGAAACTGGTACTTTCAGTACTTGTCACTGATCGCCACAAACCTCCAACGAGATTCGCATGCTGCTATAAATCCCATCTGTTTCCTATAACTGACATTCTGAAAGCTTAAAGTCACCTACTTTTCGACCACGTTCGAAGAAGATATTGAATCGCTCTCCAGGGTTACTCGGGGTTTGTAGACGTTTAGTCATCAAATTAGGTAGCAATATCGGCACAGCTCTCAGAGAACAGTCGAATACTCACCTCTCCTTTCCAGATTACCTGTGTTCACAGATGATACGAGGCAGACTACTTCAGTAAGCATACACGTCTATGGGAACACCGAATCAAGGCCAATCGGTGTGCGCAGCGGCGCTGTGCTTTAATGTGAGCGGACAACCGCAGTCACTGTCTTAGTTCTGAAATCGGAGTGGTGGTCACCCTAACGCCATCTTCGGTCGGTAGTACTGCATCCGACGGACTAGTGGATCTGCAGTGTGCGTACAGCGGCTGCGATACGAGCTGAACAAATTCACTGCCACGTTAACACGTCATTTCTGAGACTAGACAAACGTTAGCATCCATAAAGCCTACTGTGAATGCCTCAGTGTAATCTTACTAAATGCTACCAGATGGTAGCATTGTGTTATGGCTCACAGGTAAGCAGCGCGTGGGCCGAACATGCTGCGTGCGTGTGGCGCCATTTGCAGTACTATGCACCACCAAACGTGAATACTAAGGGTTCTGGAAAATGGTGAGAAGATTAAAAAGAAACTAAAATGACTCCGCTCTGTCCTTTATGTCACAGTTACGGTAGATTTTTGAGAGTTGGATTAGCCTCACTGTTCTGACAACGCGGTGCAGGGCAGCTGAATCGCTCTCTGAGCGCCCACTGCAGAGGGACTAACGATCGTAGCTCTCGACCGTAAGGCGACAGAATTGCGGCTTCTACAAAGTGGTATATCCATCCATTCCCTTATGTAAATCACCGTGGGGTTGAAGTCTGATTTCTGCTGGATGCCTAACTCATTGTGACTGGCTGTGATGTCGGCAGCAAGTTGCGCAATCTTGGCAACGCATGAACCTCGAAGCGCTTTGACTTTTAGCCATACAACAGCACTAGCGCTGTCATATTGGATCGGGACCAGTAAGGCCACCGTTTCGCGACATTCTTTCAATGTTCCCAATTGCAACCTTGTCGTTTTCCAGCTATAGACACCGATTTCTAGGCAAGCAGTAGATTTTCTCGGACATTTCTCGCCTTGAACACCAATTTCCAATCAATCGCTTGTACACCTGTTGCTACCATCATTCTGCGCTCTTATGCTCACTAGCCATCACAGCTGTTTTTGCGTTGGATCATTTCCTATTGTTACAGGTCGTCTCATGTGGCGGACCATGTGTGAAAATACAGCAGCCGACTCGGAACAGCTGACAGCCTGCTTTGGGGAACTGGGTAGCGTGCTGCACAACATGCTTGAAAGTGGTGCGTGGACACACGACGAGACACTGTCCATACTAAATGAAATCACTATCGTCCCTGAGGAGTGGTTGGCCGAAAATGTGGCATGTCTGCTGTATACCTCCGGTAAATTTATGTGCATGTGTTCCACAATGTCTGATAGATTAGTGCCTGATGTTTTTCCTATCGTGATATCTCCGTCTACAGCACCAGCACGAGCTGTACCGTAATAATATCTTGCATTCAGCCTGAGAAACATCCGCAGTGTGTGTGGGAGACAATGCATTTGGTGTTATAGGGGGCTAAAATCTCTGCCAGAAACCATGCACGCAGTTGCAAACGGATAAACGCCATTTGGAAATGTCGAGTTCGGGTGTCATTTGACACACTGTTTCATTATCATCGCTCTGGGGATTAATCCTGCAGTACTCGGTGTGTAGATTAGATTGTTTCGGGATTCTAAAATGAAAAATCATGGCGCGTGGTGGCATCTGTGATGTTATCGCAACGGTAACGCAAGTCCTTATGTGCAAAACAATTGGAGATTATGACCGGTACAAGGCCAGTTTTCTCACGTCAAATCATCGCAATCCCGTTTAACATCCTCCCTCTCTGTCTGCCCAACAATGATGTTTGTTTCAGTAACCCGTTGTGTACCGTAGGACATCATCAATCGCCTTAGGCTAGCATATAACACAGAATATCCTCTAAGTTCTTGGACCGTTGCTATGCCTAGCCCAGAGACTCCTTACTTGAATTTTGCGCCTCGCCAGATCACTTTTGCTGTCAGAGGCTCGTCTCCGTTAAGATACTAAGACAACGGCTTTAAGTCTCCCCTCACGATGAGCTGCGTCGATGTCCGTGATCTGGTAGTTCTTTGATCTCGTCTTGCTACTGAAGTTGTGTTTCTGTCTTCATTATGTTCATTTTTTTATATTTGCGAAAGATGGGGTGCGTCATATTCGTAATGTTTCTTGCCTTAAAGTGTGACTCGATGATGAACGCCTTACGATCCTTCTGCTACCCCGTGTGACTGGTATGTACGCTTTCCTGTATTTCACATTGACGAGTAACTAGCAAGAGGTACTTGATCAATCCTGACAGCTGTATTGGCGATGGCTGATTTGCGAATGTGCGATGCATTCATTGTCAGAGGTTTCCTTGAGTTCACTGGTCTTGTGTACATCATCCTCATCATTTTCATTACACGTTAGTTGAAGCTGAGAAACACACCAACTAACTTTGCCACAATATAAAGGATAAGATATATGAGACAATACCAAATATTACAGAATACAAAAACAACAAAGCAAGTACTATGATGCTATGGGGAATAGTATCCACGCATTGTGGGATCTTTGTTGGAGGCGGAAGCTATGCAGGAAGGGGAAGGACAAAGAAACTCACGGCACAAACGCCACTAAGGTCGGCTTTTGGCCATATCACAAGTATGCCCAACCAAACGTGTCCATCTTCCTCGTGACCTCAGTTTCGCAGTCGGGAGACACCAACCGACCCGAAGTTCGAAATGTGAGACTTCACTCCTCGTGACCAATTCTTCACTTGGTCTCCCCTCGGGACCCCGGTTGCGCAAGCAGCGTACGTCGCGAGAGCCGGTGTGCTGGCATGCTTGACCCGTGGCCAGGCCATCGGAGCCTGGTGCCTTTTAGCTCTGTCGATCTGATGGGCCAGGTTTCTTAATCGTACAGGAGGGTTGAATACACGACTACATCGTAAACTCAGCCCTTTAGGGCGGGAGTGATGTGGCGCCGACGCCACAAATGGCGGAGATTGGCAAAACGCCTCGTGCTGTTGTTATATAGTTCGCGATATACTACTTCACTGGCGCTAATATAGCTGCCTAGGTGCTTGAATTTCCTGACAACTTCTACCTGATCCCCACCAAGCGTCAGCGTAGGTGCGGGTCCCTGCCACTTTTATAGAAGGACCTTCCACTTCGAGGGATCAAAGCAAAGCCTAAAACGACTGACAGCCAGTGCTAGTCTTTCCATTGCAGCTCGGCACCTTTGGTATTTGTCACAGATTAGGCCTTCTGTACGGCAAAACCACTCTTCTCTACGACAGTGGCCCAGGTCTCAGGCACCTTCAAATCTTTGAAAATCATTGTCTGCGGAGCGTTAGTAGTGTCGGGTGCCTGCAGACGCAGGTTGTGCAAGCTACTACTAGGTGGCGATGGCAGACCACAACTGATGTCGAATACGGTACGCTGGACACCTACTGTTACCCTTCCTCCAAAGACTACTGAAGCATATTATTCTTTTTATGGACTACTGGATGGCATAAGTTTCCGATGGACGGTCATCTACCCGATTGTAGGAGATGAAGTCGCTGCCCACCGAACCGAGTGCAGTTGCTTTGTTTCAACTGTCATACCAATATCCATGCGACCCATGGCTTGGTATATAGTAAGAATATTTCGGATGGCTGGCACTGGCGTGACCAAGGTGTCGGTGTATTGGCTTACGTAACACGTGGCCCAGCCATCGGAGCCTGGTGCATAATATAACAGTGCTAAACAGTTTGCTCGCTTTTCTTGTGCCGAAAAAGTACGCCGAATACGATTACTATTCATGCCATGTTCCTACCAAATATGCGCTAAACTGCGAAGGCACCAGTGCTTAAACGCAGCTAGGCTATTTACGTCTATCGATCTGATAGACCAAGTTCCGCAACCAGTTTGATCGCTGTTTTCCACGTATGACAGCACAGCACCGGTATAGAATGTTGTGCGTAGCGTTGGCCATGGTGACTGATGGGTGCCCATCCCACAACGTGCACATGTACACTTGTGGGGTATGCTTTGCATCTACAGCCCGGACTCATTCATTGTTTTGGAGCATCGTTGAGCGCACTCATTCGCTCGTGGATGATACAACGGTTCCGATACATTCTCGTAACACGCTCACATATCCCTCCATTTTTTTCAATTTGCGTACGAGAAGTTTGTGTGCATCTGTGGGTGGTTACAGCGCAAAGCCACCTGGACCCCTCCGTAGCTACTATCACCGTGTCACTGTTCGGTCATAACGACACGCAAACCCTGGATTCGGACACCAACCAACCGCTAGTACAATGATTTTCATGATTTCTTCAGAATCCTACATGAGCACGACGATTACAGCGACCTAATCCGTTACACATCAAGCATGATCTCAGTATCATCTGGGAGATGTCCCCGATGATTGTTGCTTAAATGATATTTACCGCACACTTATTCTGACAGACGGAAACCCAACAAAACGAAAGCCTACTGGATTTGGGCCTTAAGGCAATTGCACTTTTGCTACGAATAAATCCTCTCCCGTTTGCCCCAGAATGCGGTTCTGGCATGGACGGAGGATCTCCCGCTCATCACTGTCATTCTTTATTAGCTGGCGCAGCTGCACACGATTAACAAACACAAAGCGCCAAATCGCCTAAAGGTAACAAGAAATGTGCCACTGTAATGGAGGATTCCACGCCAAATCATCGGCAGCGGCAATCTATGCAATCTGTTTCCCGCAATGAATTCTCGGTACACTGGATTCGATATCGTCATCAACAACAGCAGCATGCCGTGCTGGTACCTCACCGCCAAACTTATCTGAGAGATGACTTCTCTACTAGGAAAACAGCGGGGAATTGAACTTAATTCACAACCTTGGTGTCCTAATCAGACAATTGGGATAAAAGCGACTACACCTTATGGTCATCAACAGCTGGCTATCCTGCGTGGACAAGGTGGCATCTGCGCAATAGCCTTCGTCGCTCATGTCGCAGTCGACAGTATCCTGCAGGTCACAGCACTCTGTACTTTAAAGTGGTAGTCATGCTAGAACACCAAGGCAGTTAAGGCTCGTTGCGCGCCAAACCCTGTATTGTCTAGAATCAAGCACGGACTTAGTCTATTGGCCCCAAGACTAAAGGACGGGACAGGCTGACGGTACCTGACTACGCTTACTACGCCCGGTGTTGAAGTGATCAATACTACCGGAACCTCGCGAAGAGGTTAGTTATGCTGCTAAGCCAACGTTGATTGTCTGTTCCTTACCTGCGCATTTACACACATCACCTTGGGCTTGATGATGTCATAAACGCTTACAATTGCGTACGCGAAGGTAGCCACTTCTTTTCTGAACGAGGCAGTTATATCTCGCAGACAAGAAAGACCGCTGCTCATGTTATCACTTTACTGGATACGTGAACTTTCCTGATACGACAGCAAATGTTGATAGTAATTCTGACCTTAGCACATCATCCAGACTATGTGTTGTCCACTGTACTTCTCACGCTGGTGGGCACTGTGTATATTGCGGTTGAATTATTCTGATTACCATTCAGAATGAATTGAGTGACCCCATCTACCAATCAGTAAGACCGCTGTCGTCGTTGTACAGTGCCCACACATAGTGACACTATTTGTTCGGTGTCTATCGCGAAGTTGGGAAATATTGACAGTGAGAAGCATCATTGACAGATGCCACCAAATGTGAGGAGGCTACTCGACGACGCTTAACGAATGTCGATAACTGGATTTACATGAGCGAACAAAACATATACCTGATAAGACGGGTCGATCATGTGTCCGCACACGAGGAGCGGCAGTAATGTTCGCGAAGTCTTCTGGCACGTGATATGGGCACATCTGTGGCATAACCCCCAATTTGTCTCTGCACATTAGAATGGAGATCGAGAGACCAGGAATAATAAACAGCTCTCCGATCTAGTCGACAGATCATTTCATTTTGCCCTATTTGCGAGAGTGCCGTTACGTAGCTGGCGATCAGCCGAAGCTATCTTCGCTCATCTCCGGTACGCATTAAATCCAGTAGACTAAATAAAAATTCTAATAGATCGTCAGCTGTACGCCGTAACGGCGCTTCGCTGGCGCGCGACCACCACCAGTTCTGCGTGGGCTGAATATACCGCAAGGACGCCCACCCCTACACGGATTCATACGGTGTAATGCGAGAAGGTGCCTCTACGAAGTATTTCATTACTTGCTAAGTGATGGCCTGATTCCGGAACGCCGTAGAACTGCCTAATACCAATCAACTTTTTCCTTTTTCCCTTTGGTGCAAAAAGTGTGGTCGGATTCTGCCCCACGGGGTTAACCCTGGCTAAAGCGAAACGGAGTACCACAGCGCAGCTTGCAGACTATCCTGAGGGAGCAGTGAAAAAAGTTACTGCGGTCCACAACAAAGCGAACATGGAATTCATCCGCACATTCACCTCTCTTGACAGACAAGCCATTACAAATGGGTTTATAGGAGAAGCGATCTTTTGGCACATGCGAAAGTAAGAATGGATTTTCTAAACTGACACCAAGAAAGGCCTCTTTACGCTGAAATGTGATATGCACAGTGGATTGTTCTATATGACACTAAGTCTAGTCCTCCTTGGGAATATTTTCGAAGTCTTCGGGCTAACAATAATAACTCTTTCAAGAACGAATCGTTGCATCGAATGCTGTATTGTCTGCCGGTGGCCGAGTGGTCTGCGCGTCTGATTTGGAATCATAAGGTCACTGATTCCAATCCACGTAGGACCAGGCGTCCTCGCAGTATACTCAGCCCACGCGCGACTGGTGGTGGTCGCGCGGCAGCGAAGCACCGTTACAGCGTACCGTTAACACGTTACATTAATGCCGTATCCAGATTCCATACTATAAGTAGTGGCCGGTTGTCCCTCGAGTTATAGAGAAATACACAATGTTTGTTATGAGACCTATAAAATGTAAAGGCTGCTTTGAGTGTCGGTTTAGTAACTCCATTCTCTCACATCCTTTCTCTGTTTATTTCGTTTTCGTTTTGCTACATTCTCATATGACCAGTGCTGTGTGCTGTGGACAACCAGTAAGCACTGTCTCAACGACAGCAACAGCAGTACATCAGGCATTTGAACTGATGTTTCGCTGCAATGCAACCATGATGACCCATAGAATAAATAATAATAAGTGGGAGAGTAGGGAGACTTACCTGAAAGCCTTAATGTCTTAAGCAAACATTCAGGGTCAAGGCGCCTACACCTTGTGTTAACAATATATCATCAGAAACAGCTGGCTATCATGCAAAGATAAGGCGGTATCGGCGAGACAGCTTCCTTGTGGCTCTCACTGCCCCGCGTCATTATCAGCCATTACCCCGCAGATAACTCAGCACCGAACACACTTTAAACTTGCAATCTGATTAGGAGACGGCAACAGACGTGCCACTGGTGTCGGTTGCGAGCCATGTCCTGTAAGGTCTCGAACCAAGCACAAAGCGAGTCACGTGAACTCTAGCCCGGAAGGCGAGAAGGACCAACGGCACCCAATTTGGTCGTCAGTGACTTCCTTTCCCGCTACCAAGTCAACTTCTGCCCACCTCGAGCTTTGCGCCATCCTACATCTGGCAGACTAAAGAAGGCCTTCCTGAGTAAGCGGTGACCAGGTATACGTAACACATGCCCAAGCCAACGCAACTTATTCAATACTATATGTTTTTCTAGGGAGCTAGCATGATTGTCACTACCTAGTACTCGCCTACGCACATCATCGTTGCGGACACGCTGGGGCCATCCGATACCAGCAATGCTTCGCACACAACAATGATCAAAGTCTTGAAGACGCCTCAGATCTTCTGACCTAAGCGGCCAAGTTTCACTACCATAGAGCAGAACGGCCCTCACTGTGGCCTTGTATACACGACCTTTCAGACGGAGGGAAATTCCTTTTTTCGCCAAAGATGCCGCAGGTTCAAGAAGGCAGCTCTGGTCTTTGCATTGCGTGAGCTGACGTCAGTTTCCATATGCCTATCGTTGCTGATGCAGCTGCCAAGATAAATGAATTGATCAACCACCTCGAGTTCCTCGTTAGCAAGGGTCAGGGGGTCATAAAGTGGCTGCTGGTCCTGCAGCAACACTACACTTTGAAGGTGCGAAGTGCATACCAAATAATGGGACCACTCTAGACAGGCTATTCAGCGTTGACTGGACCGCCGCAACATCGTTGAAAAGCATACTTATAATCAACTAACCTTCCACCATGCAGGACCTCAACGCTTACATCGTGCGATTCCGCAAGGGAACACTCCGTGATAGAGTCCACATGGAAATTGAACAAAGATGGGGAAATCGAACAACCCTGACGAACGCCACTTGTGGTCGGAAAGCTATGCGATAGGCCACCGTTGACCTTGACGCGGCCTGTAGTGTTCGAGTATAGGGCGCGTAGGATGTTCACATATTTCGTGGAAACACCTTTCTGTGTAAGTATTTCGAACGGAATGCATCGATCGCTTAAATCGAATACACTCTTGAAATCAAGGAACACAGCTATTATCGGCCTGCGGTGTGCGTTGCACTGCTCAAGCACCGGCCGCAAAGTGATTATATTCTCTATACAGCCACGCCCTGGGCGGAAACCTGCCTTCTCTTCCCTAATCCGAGATTCCCGTTCTATAGCGAGGCGACGAACGAGAATCGAGGCCATTAAGTTTGTCACAACTGGCGTTAGGCCAGTACACCTGTGATTAGAACAGTCTGTGCGACTGCCCTTTTTGTATATTGCCACTATAATCGATTCGTTGCAGTTAGCCGGAACACTCTTCGTTCCAGATACGTTCGAATAGGGAGGTTGGTGCTTTGCAGAGAGCCTCTGCTCCATCCTTAAATAGTACAGGTGGGATGGAATCCGGGCCAGCGGTACGAAAACGATTGAGGGCTGTGATTGCGTTTCGGACCTCGGCCTTCGACGGAGACTAAACTAACCACCCATGGCTCGTCCTGCATCACCTGAGTAGGAAGAGGTCCGAGAGCAGGGGGCCAGCTTAACTGATCTTGGAAGTATTCCACCCAACGAGCCATACTGCTTTACTTATTGTGTATCAGTGCACCCGCGCTGTCTCTGATTGCCTCACTGACGCCTGGTTTTCTGGGACTACACCATTTCCCGTCCAAGTTGTTCTCTTGGGCAACAGAAATAATCTGAGGGGGCATTCAGCCTGGGTCTACTCAATTAATTTGTTCCGTGCGTAGGCGATGAAGAGTCCCACCTGCACTCCTATGACTTAGTGCGTCTAAGATCCAGTTGGCTGAAGGCGACGGACTATACACGCACACCTACACACCTGCACAAGTGACTGACGTACGCACGGAACAAATTAATTGAATAGACTCATGTTGAATACCCCCTCAGATTATTTCTGTTGCCCAAGAGGACAACTTGGCCGGGAAATGGTATAGTGGTTCAGATCAGCTGGAAGAGCCTATTGCTCCTGCGTCCTCCATTTATTGAGCCCTACTGGTCCACCAGGCTTCTTTGTCAGCACCTACGCTCCGCTTTAGTTCGTGCCTGATAGCCCGTCTGGTCACATTGTGCTCATAGCCAGTCGGGAGGTTTCTTCTGAATTCCAACTGGTTTACCGACCTCTCGGATATCCAGTGACTGGTGCGGTGCCGATTGATAGTGCTACAAGCAGATGCTTCTGCGTCGTTTATGACGGCCGAGATCTTATTCCACTGAAGCTCAGTGTCATTGGAACAATACAGCGAAAGTTCGGTACGCAGTGCGTCTTGATAGGCTTGTCTGACCGAGGGCTGAGACAATTTCTCAGTTACCAATCGGAGGAGACGCTTGCTGCGCCTACCAGTAAAGTTCATGGAGAAACGATAGCGTAACAATACGCCGGTGCTCCAGAACGAGCGTCCATCCACGATGGAACCACGCCACCTATAACTTAATGCAATGTGGTCAATTTGGGTCCATCGCTGTCCAGCTACAGGAGTACGCCAAGTGGCACTTCGGCGCCCACTGTGTCTAAAGACAGTGGCACTAAAAAAACAATTGGTGCTCCGCACACAGTTGCAGCAGTCGTTCACCGTTGTCAGTCCGTTCGGAGTTCAGCCCATAATTACCACCTAGCTGAGCTTCAGAAGAGCTCAGACGCTCAACTTGTGCGTTCATATTCCCCGCAAGTACTATAATATCTGAACTAGTAGCACTGCATAGTAGCGCGTTCAGTTCGTGATAGAATGTGTCCTTGACAGCATTAGAACTGCAGTCGGCTGGAACATGCGCAGAAATCACAAACAAACAGCGTTTTGTACTACTTCGTGAATCAATCTTAGCTGATGTCGTCAAGCAGGCTGCACATAAACGGTTGTTCACCGGAATCCAATCAATCTACGATGGCTAAGCTTTAGAGCTTAGAAGGATACGTACACCAGCTTGACTCGTGAGTGCTGCATCGGCGTATCTGGATGCGTGCAACCACTAACGTGAAGATAAGCCGGGTGCAGTTAATTCAACTATCCAATTAGGGTCATTGATCCTAGTTTTGGACACACAGCACGCAACAATACCCAGTGTGTCCAAGGTGCGTGCGAGCGCAGCCTGTTGACCTAATTGTCTTAGAGTGCGAACGTTGAACGCCGCCAAGGAAACGCGACAGCGTGGCGTTATAAAGGATTCTTGCCGATAGGCGTCCGATGGGTGTTCTTGGAAGGTGACTGCAGATGGTCCTACTCCGGTGGCACTTCTGTTGCTGTCAATTAAGCTGGTAATTATAGAAGGAAAGTTAGTAATGGGGATCGGGATGGGAGTAAGAGAAACAGGAGGAAAAAAAGGAGGCGCCAGCAGTAGCATGTTTTCGTTTATTCGCCCTGCTGTATGTAGCAGATATGGCGACCCTTGATAATGTGCACGACGGCCGATGTAGGATGTAGTTTACGTTTGGTTGTATGTATGCTGGGATACTCTCAGGGCACCCAGACCTAGACAGGAGGACGATTAGGGTCCTCAACCAAAGCCTGTCCGCAAGGCAGCGGGGAGGTGGCAATGATTTAGTGTTACAGGAATGGACACTATCCCATTTCTAACCCCTAACCTGGAGGAGCAAAAGACTGAGTTTTTCTGACCTCTCACCATTGACCAACCTGGTAGGAGTAATTCTCAAATGGCCCAGAGGCACTACCCAGTATAGCTCAATGGTCAATGAGGTACGCAAACCGTTGCACCACGTTAAGGTCCAGTCTCGTTTCACTGTCTGGCTTTACTCAATCACTGAATCCGCGCTTATTCATTGGTTTTAATTTCCACTTCCTATTTCAGGACCCAGACTCGCCTCCATGCTTATAACACAGAAAGCGGAAAGTGGACAAATTGGTGAACTGGCTATTACGCTGACCTCTCTGTGTATAATCCGGGTAAGTTCTCTGGTAAGATTTGTGTCTGCGTACTGCTTGCTGTCTTGTTCTATGGTGGATCGGTTCGGCGCTTCAGGTGGATCGGAATTCTTCAGAAACTTCATACAAGACCTTTGTCTCAAAAAATTTTAACCTTACATTTCCGCGCGAAGTTAAAAAGTTGCTGTTCGAATCCAACATGGACAGGTCAGACTCTCGAGTTTACACATGCATTTACGTTTCATTGTACTTGCGTCAGCAAGTACGTCGGCCGAACTGAGAGGAGACTGTCCACTGGGATTTTAGAGCCTACTCTACGCAACCTGTTCGCGCCTTTGTCCGTGCTCCACAATTCCTGTCCGTAGAATTCTCCAAAACACATGTTCTCACTGGTTAGTTTTAACTGAAACGTTCCCGCTTTTATTTAGCACCTGTCCTGCCATGCCATACTACTCGCGCGATATTTTTTGAAATCTCCGTGTTTCTACGCTGGTAAATTGCGCATTTTGCAACGGCCGTGTTGTAAGAGACAAATGGAAAAGAATTCATAGGAGCTGTAATAATTCCCTAAGTAAACATCGTGTTGGATAGAAAACTGTAAGATCTGTGCGTGTCAATATTGCTTAGCGCCAGCATCCGTTCGCTTTTAGGAAGATTAGATGAACTATTGTGCACATTATCTCCAAAGTATTTTCGCAGCTGCAAGAAACCGGCTCAATGAAGAAGTGGATGATGCCATGCGGTTGAAAAATTTGGTTACTATCGCACGTATCAAACAAAAGTGCTGGCGTCCTTCTTTACACTAATCCATCTTGGTGTATTACACCAAAACGCGGCTTTTGATTCTCCTTACAATCTTGTTAACTACTTCGTCCTACAACCTGAGATGTTTGAGTGGCTACCGCTCAGTAGTGTCTGCCTTACATCGACCTATCTCCCACCTGTCCCGAAATTGGAGCAGAGAATTTTACGATGAATTTATTGCATCCGTCATAACGTAACAAGAATGAAATGCCAAGGAAGCACAATCTCAATTGCACGGGACCACGGTTAATCAAGCTGTTACGCACGTGTGTTTCCGTCCTACTACGCAACATACATGGGGGGATTACTACATGCCGCATTCGTGCATTGTTTCTCCCGGACCTGGGTAGGAGGGGTTGCTGCCCATCTGACCCCGTATCTTTGCTTCCATAGCTCGCATTCTAACCAACCTGGAGTTGTTCTAAGACTTTTGATTTGCTTGATCACTGTTACGTTGTTCGGCTTGTGCTTACTCCTGGATGCACCGACAAAGTCGTTTCTGTCTGATTTATTGGCCCAAGGCCGTTACACCGTTCATCGCTTGCGATCCGCTCGTTCAGTGGGGTTTGCGTTGTGTTATCCTATCTCGTCCATATTGCCTGTGCCTGTTTCGGTGCGCGCTTGTTTCCAGTCTTTCGCGTGATTTGCCGCCACCACACAAGAACACCTCGGCCATTCTTTATGTATCTATGCCGCAGATGTTAACAGACTCGATACCATTTTTATCACAACTCTCGGGTTACAGAACATCGTAAACTTACCCACCAGCTTAGGCCTAGCGTTCGTTAATAATATGAAGTTCTCCGTATGTAACTGGGCTCTGATTGGTAGTTCCGGTCACTGGATGATCAAGATTTTTGTTGTCCTATATAGCAAGACAAACCACCAAGAAATCACTCGCTGGCATGATCCAAGGTTCATGTGGAGGCGGTGCTCCTCACAAAATTCCGACCGACTTCGTGGACTGACTGCATTCATATACTGGTTTATTCGTTAACCCTGACGTATCCAAGTATTATGACAATTTGTCTACCTATCTAAATTTCTGTTTTGACATCCGTTGTCCTTAGTAAACTCTACATCTGCGCTGACAGGTTCTCCTCCCCCCACCTGATGCGACTGCGCCGACTTAAGTAGTAAGTGTTTAAGGGAAAACTCAGCACCTCAGCGAGGTCCCTCACTGTTTGTAGCAAGAAAGAGCTAATTCGCCTTAACTAAGCCTATGTCCAGTATATTCATGAAAAGGCAGCTGTTGCTGTTATTATTATTATTTTATTAGCTGTTGCTAACTAGTGAATGCTGAAATAGCTTAGCGGAGTTACTCGACGTTCCGCCCTGTTTCGATTCGAATGTTGGGAAATTGAACCAGGATTTCTACAACTGCGATGCTCTTATGGCCCCCGAGCCTTCGTGTTCCCGATTTCTTGGGTCTCTGAACTCTGCTTCCTGTCGAGATTGTGATTGCATAATTTATGAAAGCGCCTACGTTTTGGTAAGGCTAGTGGTCCGTACAAACTATTTCCCATCGTACTGAAAGAATGTGCTGACTTTTGGCAACGCCACTTGCGTCTGTATAGCCGGCCAGTAGCCTAAAGGTAACATGCTTGTCCTGTAATCTGGCGGCGTGCGTCTGCGTAGGAGCAGGGCGACCTTCGCAGTATCTTCGCCCACGTGCAACCAGTGGTGGTTTCGCAATAGCGAAACGTCGGTATTACGTACCGGCGTACTGCTGATGCCTTGCGTCTGTATACATAATGTGTACGCAGCAACACAAAACCTCAGACTGCTGGAGAAGTGTCACATAATTACCAGCACATATCGACCTATCGCTCGTAATTGTTGCCTAGAAGGTTCTGTATAGTTATTCTTGTAATCATACTGTCCCAAACTCGCTCGAATGACCCTCTTCAATTCGAGGCACACTCTGGATGCAGTGGCCTGCCTCGCACATTCTGTACTGTCGTCACTTGACAACAGAAATAAATCAACTCGCGTGTGCCTCATTGATTCTGGCAATGCATGCGGTTGTGTAAAACGCGAATTGCTGCTAACGACATCGTCAGCATATTTTAGTCATCGTCATCGGACAGCCGATTCCTCACTCAGGTTGCAAGATCATCTGAACGAGCTCAACATTTGATCCGAAGCTCGTCATCTGTTTCTTAATTCATCCAAGTGTCATGACATTCTTCATTCGCTACACATAGGAGACAAGTATGAGCAACTCCTTACACACTGCTCCAAACTGCTGATTGACGGCAATGGATTACAATCTGCTGCATTAGTGAAGTACCTAGGTGTGGTACTGAACTATATTTTATTATAGACTATTCATGTAAATGAAACTCGCAAAAGTCCGAAGGTTGCTTTTCTACGCCCCTCGTCTATGAGCCTCCTCTGTCCCTCATGAGTTGATCCTTCGTTTTGTCTGCCTGTGTTCTTCCCCACCGGGCTTACTGCTCCCCTGTGATTTTTCCCGGTCTTCTGGATAAGCATTTTAAGTTAATGGTCAATTCATTACGATGTTGATCCAGATGCAGCGGCGTTCCCATGCCTACGTTTGTCAACACTCTTCCATCTGTACATCAATCCTTGTAACAAACTGGCATCTAAGCTACTGGCCGGTAGAAGTTATCCCTTTCAGAGGGGGTTATCACTTTGTCTGTCAACTTCCTCTATTAGGCAGAGGTACCAATTGGTATGTTCTCGCATACAAGCATGTTTCGCGTTTTCTGGACTTAACCAGCGGTTTCACATTATGATGAAATTCCTGTCTATTCTTTATCAACCCGTTTCCATGCTTTTGTTTTGCGACTGATTCCTATTTTGGTACATTGCTGAGACCGTCTGTGTTATTGCCGAATATTCACTCTCCATGGATGCATTGATTTGAGTTTCGTTTTGTATGTCTGCCAGCCCGATCGCCTGATATTGAAGTCGCTTACGAGGCACCGCGAACCAGGCGCCTGAAGCCGCACTGATGATGTTGCCTAGTCAGGCAACGAAACGTCTGCACAATATCATTCAGCTCGGAGCACCGCTCAAAATCCGCATCCACACCCCGGGCTACGGATATTCTCATTTCAAAACATATTTGACTTTCTCGTGTGTGAAAACCCGCGTGGACCAAACGACAGAGCGTCGCCCGTCCACTTCAGTTTACTGAGATTTCGGTAATTAGGCGACTGAAACCCACAGATTTTTTCAGACGTGTCAAAGACTGCTGACTGAGAGTGGACTGCGACACATTGCCTCTGGAATTATACCAAAATCTCAACTACTCATTAGTAAAGTTAGATTTGCTTGTCCAAAGTTGGGCTTTGGAGCACTCGCCATCCGACTGATTGTGACACGCAATCCCCATTGGGACTTCTGTCTACTTTCAAGTACATCTCGGTTATTCCTCTTACGGGAACCCCAGGAGACCCTGCAAAATTTACACACCACCGCCCGCGTCACCAGGTCACGCGGTGGGGGACGATTTTCCTGTCCCCAACGCAGTAGATTCAAGGCGAGCACAGCGGGTACGGAATTGAGGATGTTCTTTTTGTATCTCACATTTCGACTAAGTGAGTCATTCTCTCTACAACCAAAGCGGCGTCCTCATCTGTACTGACCTTTACCTTGTCGTAAAAAGCACTTTGCGAAAGCCCATCATTTTCGCACGGGACTAGGGTGTGTGCGTCAGTCGACGGAATTTGGGTGTGTGCGGCTAATCGCAGCTAAGCTTCCAGGAGTGTTGCAACCAGTCGTCCGTTAACCCTTCGTGCAGAACACAGTACGCGTACAATTTACACGTCGATTAGCCTTACGTACGGACGAATCTTAGTGCGTCTCGTCACTGAACTAGGCCGAATTCGTTACTGGCGGCTTATCGAAAACGGAGCGCGACGAGCCTACTAACGATCGACGACGACGAAGTAAGACTCGAATTCACGCAGGTCAGTGAGACCGTATCCAAAGTAGAGCGGTCTCGGTGTTGCTTGCTCGGGGCACTGCTGGGACCGAGCAATACCGAAACCCCTTTAAATCTGCTTATAATTTTCGTAGTACAATGGCTTAAGGAATATTGGTAAGTTTCCAGCAGTTTTTTCACACACCTGGCTCCGATGGCTGGGCCACGTGTTCCACATGCCAGCACACTGGCTCGCGCGACGTGCATTGCTTTCGCGCCGGATGTATGGATAGTAGAGGAATAGATGAGGCCAAGCGATGATTGGTCAACAGGAATGAAGGTCCTTAGTTCGAAGTTGGCCTCGGTTGGAGCCTCTCGGTTCTCTGCTTTGGATCCGAAAGGCCGTGAACATATAGGTAGTAGCCGACCACATTGGCGTTTGTGACAAGAGTTTCTTTTTCCCTCCCTCTCCCGCTTAGCTTCTCATGCAGCCACGATCACATTTCCCAGCACATAAATTTTGCACAATGTAATCTTGGCGGCACAGTACCGGCTAGTATTTTTCCTGAACGATGCCCATCCGTTACTGGTGACTCAACTGGCGTGCCTCGATTGCATGTTTTTCTTATGTATTGCGGCATAATATATGAGGTGTTTTCCACCTCTAGTTAGCGTGTATAATGATGATTATGCTACGTTTTCACTGTTGACTGATTACACACCATAATCTGAGCCCGGAAGTGTCCGCGCACCCCTGTGAATGCAATACACCATACCTGCTTGACGTCCGAAAACTAAGTGGACGAGTACAATCTTCTTGAGGTTGTGTACGCTGTAGGTACAACAGTAGTAGAGATCTACCAAGTTGCATGAGAATTGTCCAATAGCTGCGGATATTTTCGCTGAGGAGAAAGTGGGGAGTTGATTTTTTGTGACTGGATCCTTGCACCGTGTCTCAAATGCTGGCTTTCAGATGATCTAGTGCACTTATGTAGAGAAGACTTCATTGGGACCGCATGTCCGGTGAAGAATGAGTCCTACCCGTGCTAGTCTTCTTAGTAAGCTCATCCCGTCAACAGTTTATGACACGTCCGGGTACTAGCCGAATGATAACACCAGTGTGACGCATGGAAAGCCTTAAAACCATATATTTCGCTTACAGTTGCATTCCGGCGTCCGAAATTCCACCGAACGCGATCCTAGTTTCGCTGTGTCACCGCAACTAGCATGGTCCATGGTCCTTCCAGATTTCACCGGGTCTCCGTATACCCAATACCGTTTTAATTCAGGCGAGATCTAGAGTAAACGACCGGAAGCTATTTTAATAAAATCCTCCATTGTTTCTTGGCTTCAGTAACTCTTCAATCGACTCAAGGGTTTATAAGCTGTTATTTCCTATCAACCTCCGGATTCCGTTAACACTATAAAACCACATGTAACAGAGACCCACCATACTGTTTTTAACCGGGAAACCAGGTGCAGAATTTCGCAGACGCTTTCAGAAATGGACGAAATTAGGAGCATTGACGCTATATACCCCAATTGAAAGACTATCCGCATGTGGGTATCTTGTGGTTGAGGCTATCCGATTACTGTTAAATTGTTTCTGACTCCTAACTGCTCGCCGAGGGAGTTGGAACAGAAGCGAAAAGAACAGCTACAACATCCGACACCAGTAGGCTGTCGTGTATGAATTACATTCTAAAATAGCAATGGAACAGTGCACGTTTGCCTTCCAACTTTCAGAAGCAAATGTCGTTCCAGATTGTGCGAAACCTGAGTTATAGACAGTAGAAAAACGATTCAGAGGCAAATGAGGGGACTGACCGGTTGAATCAGCTCACACCAGCAGCAGACTTTATTCAACTGATCTGTAGAAGTCAGGTTCAAGTTAAACCTAATTCACGGGAACGATGGTCATAAGGTGGATTCCGTCCCCTGCAAGATGATGTGGGTACCAAACCAGTGTGCATCCTGATACCCATATGATCGAAATCAGCGCGGTTGTGAGAACGCCCACCTCAGGAAAATTCCCACACGCGCCTCCGCACGACTGTCAATAGTTAGTTCGACCACATTCGTAGCTATCAACTGTTGGTTCCTCCGGAGTCAAAAGAACTAAATAAAAGTTTGTCATAATGCTTACAGCGATTGCCGCCTGTATCCTCCAGATGACTCGTCCCTAGCCCAGTTTTGAACATCTGAGATCAGTTTAAACATACAGAGGCACACCAACGTATATATCCAAGGTGCGATGTCGCTACTTGTGCATATAACGACGTTTTCTGCCACTACCACACGTTTGGGTGTTGTTGCCAATCTGCCGAATGTGCTCTGGCAATGTTACCTAACTCATTAAAAGAACGTCTTTAACGAAACGGGCCGATTTTAGGGGAATCTTCATTGCTACGACTTTAACAACCACTGTGGGTCGTGCGGACAATTCGCTGTCTCTTTTGCACTACGCGGCCTTTATTAAGACGTAGTAGGAATGCATGTGTTTGTGGATCCTCGGCAAGGTGGGCCAAGTGGAGCAGAGCGAGCAGATGTCAAGCTCCACCCAGACAGACATTTCCGACCTGAGAATCCACTGAGGTTAAGGATAAACTGGGCTTGGAATATCGAGATACAATATCTCCACACCACGCTTAAAAAGGAGCAGTATCTGCATTCCACTAGCTCCACATAAATGCGATACAAGCGGACGCTCGTGAGAACCCTGAGTAGCCGTGCCAGACGAATTTGCTCCGCTGATTGTCTGGCTGACGAACTGCAGTTGCTTACCAACATGCTCATTGAAGACGGCTACCCCGAAGGTTCATCGAAGAACATAGTCATGTGCGACCAAGGGACCCAAGAAGCCTGTAATCATTGAACTGCCATTCAAAGGGGACGTTTCCTCGTTGAGGACCACAAGGCGTCTGCTCTGTGCCATGCAGACAACTTACTATGCCGCCAAGGTCGTTGTCATTAATGAAACCCCAAAACTGCCACTTCCTTCTATAAAAGAGACTCAGCCTATCGAGGCCAAGTCGCATTGCGTTTACCAATTCCTTTCTGACTTCGGCTCCAGGACCGATAGGATATTGAGTTCCCGAATGACGGCGCATGTACCTAAGTGGGTTCAATGTTCGACCGCGCAGGAAACTGGCCAGAGTCAAGCAGTTTCTCTGCGCAAGCTACCAGCCTCTTCGATCGGCCGACACTTATTGACCACGGGTCACCGAATCGAGGTCACTTCGGCGTTCACAATCCTATGATTTTGTCAATTGTGTGCAGTTACTTTTTAATAACGACGGATCACAACGCTCTTTCCTCATCAGGTGAAAATTCGCGCCGCCCTCACGGACCTCATCGGGCTGGTCGGTGAAGCATGTCGTGCGGCGCAAAATATGGACCGACGTCTTTTCCTTGATCAGCTTGCGCGGGCTTTCCAGGATGTTATTGTGGATCTTTATGAAACAGATGAATTAGGTGAGACAACACGTGTGGTTTCGACCTTTCACTCATCGTTGTGATTTTATCTGCAAACCCAAATCTTTCTGTATTTGTTCCTCACCAGATAAATGCTAGGACTCTGGCTGTCGACAGCTTCGTTCCCGCATGGAAGACAGTAAAGGTAGACTTGTAGGTTTCGATTTTGTCTCTAGAAGTGGCGTGCAGCAATTGCGGGTTGCACTTCAGCTGCCTCCTAGGCGAGGCTGTGATTCCAGCGATGCCATACATCGCATACGAGTCAGAGTGTGTACTCGGTTGCCCAATGTGAGTTAACAAACTTATGACCACACCGGTCGCATGTCTCTTCATGGAGGTTGCAAGCATTCGATACATATGCATTCTCTCATCACCTATTCGGGGAAATTCTAAGGATGCCTATGTATAACACTTGGTTGCTTGGCATTTGTAGCAATGTTTCCAAGCTCTCTAAGCCTTCCTAGTGCGCCGCGGTACACACTGACGATAGAGACACACTGTGTTCACTGAACAATCACCTAGCGCTACATTCTCACTGGAAAACGAATTACCGGTACATTTTGTTTGCTTACACTTTTGCTCCTATTGCGTCTACTCACATCACAATCCCGAAAGCAACTCATCTATTTCTCTTTTTACAGAAGATCGCGTGGAGGACTTCTCAATCATTCTCAAAGCACAGGCGGAGTTTATGCGTGCGCTAATGGCTCGCGTATATGAAGAATGAATGCTATAGCAGCGACTTTCGCACTGTGATCTTCCAAGCTGTGTTACTATCGTTTTCCAGTTTATGCATTTCAGCCTATTTTCCAATGTTTTGCCCGTAGTGGCTTTCCTTACTTGTCTAATCAGGTTCCGTTGCGCTCATTTACTTTCTTAGCGAAGTTTTTACTATTTCTATATTGATGTTTTGTTTGAGTTTGGAATACACGTTGTTCTGATGATCTTCGGTCAAAATCCTATATCTATTGGACGGTGGGAATTGGGACATCATGATCCAATGGTCTCGGGAGCAGAGCGCTTTGCACCAGAACTATCAGTGGTGACTGTGTATATGTCCCTACTGGGCTCGAAACAGTCGTATTATTTGTGTGTTCTATCGTTGACTGGAACCGTGGCGTTAATAGCCGTTTGAATTGCACGGTTGCAGTGGAGAGGAGACAAGTCCAACACTATTACAATTTTGGGATTTCGACAGGTTCGTAGAACTTTGGAATATCCTGTACACACTGATCCGAAGACAAATATTGTCGTGAAAAAAGTCTCTACGCCTTTCGATGTCCTTCTCCAACAGAATCCGAGTAGGGGGGGGGTAAAACATAACCATCATGGGAATCTGGTTGGCATACCAAATTATGGTATCCAACAAACTTTCGGTTACCATTTGGCGGTTCTATGCTGTCCCTCCCGGTTATGCTCAGGGAAATTTGGTAATGAATTAAAACATAGTCTGAGTAAAAGCAAGAGCTACAGCAAAAAAGAACCCAAAACATCTGAATGCCACAGTGATTTAGTTAAGTTGGATTCAGCACTCAGCGATTGCCAGCTAACACCAAGAAATGGTTAACGTAGAGTTGCAACATGATATTGTCTGTGCGAAAAGGAATCAAGTCTAGATTTCCAACCAACTTTCTGAAGAATCTAACGAACTTTCAACTAAATGAGAATATCCCTAGTTCGGGGTATGGATGTAGATCTTGAGCTATTCTCCGAACTGAGTGATTATTTTGTAGACATTTCGTTGACAGACAAGACGAAATCATCAGTGCGGCTTCAGGGGCTTGGTTCGCAGTGCCTCGTAAGTTAAGTGCTTATTGATCGAGTTCTGCTTTGAATGTCAGCCTTCAATGAACTCAGTGCTTGCCGGCTCTTAGCCCTTCCGAGGATGGTGGCGTTCTCCAGGTCGAATTGATGGTTCTCGGCATCTATATGCACTGACATTAGGGAGTTCTGATCGTGGCTACGAATGGCTAGGCTGTGTTCGTGTGTCCTTGTGCCAAGCTTTCTTCCGGTCTGTCCTACGTAGTATTTGTCGCAGTTCCGACAGCAGATCTTATTATAAAGGACACCAGTTTCTTCCTCTTTGCTAAGTTTATCTTTCACTTTGAAGAGTTTACTGCGAATATTTTCCGTTGGCTAGTGTACAACTCTGACTCCAAAAGGTACTAATATCCTCGCTGCCATTTCAGAGGTTCCCTTGATATAGCCCAGAGTGGCTCTTTTTCAACTGTTGCATTTGTCGATGTGTGCTGAGGAGCCTTTTTGGATGCTAGGCAGCGTAGAATGAAGCGTTGTGGGTATGAGTTTTGCTTGAGCAGACTGAAGATGTGGTCTTCCTCCGTCCGTCTCAGTTGCGGTGTGCCACAATATGTTTGCGCTCTTTTGCAAAGGGTTCGCACGCAGCGGCGTTTGTGGGCGGCCGTAGTTGCGGATCTGGTCCGTATGTGTAGATTTCCGATACTGTTGTTTTCAATCGTCCAACACCAGTCCTTCGTATGAGTACGTCTAAGAATGGTAACTTCTCGTTGTTCTCCTCTTCCCTGGTGAATTGGATGCCATCGAACACCGTTGATTAGTTCGTGTGTTTCCTCCAATTTGGTACGCTTGAGGATGACGAAGGTGTCGTCCACGTGTTGTGCCTAAAGTTTTGGTCCCGCGATCGGAAGTGCTATTTGTTCCAGCGCCTGCGCCACTGCCTCGGCTACCAGACCATATATCGGCGATCCCATTGGTGTGCCTCTTATCTGTTCGAACATTTGGCTATTGAAAGTAAAATATGCTGATAGACAGAATACTAGTGACTCCAGCATCTGTTTGGCGTCGAGTTTAGTGCTTGTATCAGACGACGTGTAATCCTTTAGTAGGCGCCTCATTGTTTGTTTCGCCAAGTTGATGATTGAGGTGAACAAGGCGGTAATATCAAAGTTGACACTTCGTCCCGTTCACTTGTTACGGTTTTAAGTTTCTCAAGGAAGTGTTCTGCTGAGTTGATCGAGTGTTCCGGTCCCGCGATTAGGTGTTTTAGCCGTCTCCAAAGCTCGTTTGCAAACCTGTAATTTGGTGCTCCAGGTAAAAGCACGATGGGGCGAGGCGGCACTCCGCTTTTGTGTCCACTTTAGCTAAGCCATAGAACCGCGGTAGTACCGAGTCTTATGGTCGCATCATCTTGTCTTCCAATTTTGTGATTTTCCACAGTTTTTGCAGAGTGCGTCTGATGTTGCCTTCTAAGTGTTTTGTCGGGTCTTCGTTTATCGGCTGTTATGTGTTTGTATCACCGAGTAGGTGTTGTGCTTTCATCATGTAATCTGCATTGTCCATTATAACTGTAAGGCGTCCTTTGTCGGCCGGCAGTATAACTATGCTCTTGTCTTTCTTGAGGTTCTCCAGAGCTTTCCGTTCAGGGGTGTTGAATATGTTAGTTTCAACTTTATGACTGAGAGTCGGGATGATTCTGTTGTGCTTCAAGCGGGATGTTGTACGATAGCAACATTGATTCAAGTGCAGCGAGGAATTCCTTAACATTGAGTTGCATACCTCGGACAACGACTGCTTTTTCCGCGTCCATTACTTTTCGTTTGGATATGTTTGTGATCCAAGCATTGTCTTCCTTAGTTGGTATCATCCGCGAGATCAGATTCAGCTTCTCTTCGAGCCACCGTTTGGTGTTTAACTTTGTCTTGTGTGTTTTTACGCTTAACGCTTTTTTCAATTCTTCAGTCATATGTGATCCTAGTCTGCATAGGTAAATTGCCTTCTGTTCATCAGTCACCATTTGGTAATTTTGTTTTCGACAGTTCTACATCTGTAATCAACAGGCGGAACATTCTTCGCCCATGTTGTTCCGTTATCTTCCAAGCCAAAGGTGGTTGATCGGAGGACCGTAGTGTAGACTCGGCGGCGAAACCTGCCTTCGCAAGCATTCGTGGAGGAAATAGAGCTGCTCGTCAGTGGATGAATGCCGAGTGGCAAATGTCTCCCATCGGCGAGCAGATTTTAGCGTATCGCACCCAAAGTGACTTGAAATAAATGAGAATATCCCCAGCTTGGTGTGTGGATGCGGATTTTGATCTGTTCTCCGACCTGAGTGATTATTTTGTAGACATTTCGTTGACAGACAAGGCACCATTATCAGTGCGGCTTCAGGGGCTGGGTTCGCAGTGCCTCGTATGTCAAGTGCTTACTGATCGGGTTCTGCTTTCAATGCCAGGCTTCAATGATCTCCGTGCTTGCCGGCTCTTAGCCCTTCCGAGGATGGTGCCGTGCTCTAGGTCGAATTGAATCTAACCAACTACTCGAACACTCACGTCCCTCCGGAAGACTATTACTGTATTTGAGCCGGTAGCACTGCATAGTGATGTATTTAATTTGTGGTCGAAAGCCTCCTCGGCAACATCAGAGGTGTAGTTGGTTAATGCATAGGCGATAGCTCGGAGCGTTTCCTCTTTGGTCACGAGTTTCTAGTGAAAACGTGGGAGCAGGAGACTGTTCTAATCAACGTTTAGAATGCGGCAACCATAGAGGAAACAATTTGCTCTACATCGTCTGTAACTTGCGCCCCTCTGTCATCCTTCACAGATTGGCTTGCACTCGTGAAAGCCGGATTCGCGAGGAGCAAGCCGGGTTTCGTCGCGGTCGAAGCTGCACATTTTCACTTTGTGCCATTTTTTGGAGCACCGTCACGTACATTGGCAGCCCACTGTAGTCTTGTTCCTTCCTCTCAAAAGTGCCTTCGATTCGGTTGATTAATATGCCCTTTGAGACTGTCTACTCAGGAAATGTGCGCCCGAGAAATAGGCAGATATTATCCAAGAGCTATACGCGCGTAGGTCGGGCAGTGTGATGGCTTACGGCAAGCTGTCGGGGCCGTTTAATATCTTCAGTGGTGTAAGACAGGGTTGTCCGCTGTTACCTTCTCATTTAAACATCGTAACTTAGTTGTCGAGCTGCTCCCAGGTGAGCGATTTCTTGACTTGAAGTATGCGGACGATATTATCCTCATCTGTGACAGTTCACAAATATGTCAAGCCCCAGTGGACAGGTTAGCATTGGTCATCAGCCGTTTCGAGCTTTGCTTGGCACACTCGAAGTGCAAAGCTTTCCTCCAAGATTGGCAGGGACCACATTCTGCACTGACCTTTGGTGGGGATCAGCTAGAGGTTGTTCAATAATTCAACTACTAGGCAGTTGCACCAACGCCGGTAAAATCGACGACCTTAATGCAAAAACTCGAGGTGCTTATGCTAACTGCCACCTGTGGCGCTGGTGCAATAACACTGTCCCTGAAGGGTTGACTTTACAATGCAGCCGTACGTTCGACCTTACTGTACAGTTGTGAAACCTGGCCCGTTAGATCGGCAGACACAGAGGCGAGTTATGTTCAACCACTAGTGACTTCGCAGTTTGGCTCGTATCTAGTGAGAACATGGTGTGAGCAATGAGTATGTTCGACACCTTGTTTATGGCACAGAAGGAGGAAGTGAATCGCCCAGCACCGTTATAACACGCACCAGGCCACGTGTTGTGCATGCCAGCACACCTACTCCAGCGACGCACGTTGTTCTCTCGACGGGGTTGTAGTTGCAAGGAAGACAGGTGGCCAAGCGATGACTTGGTCAAGAGGAATGAAGGCCCTCACTTCGAAGTTGGCCTCGGCTCCCTGGTTTGGACCCGAAAGACAATAAACACTTTCGACTGGATACATTTGTTGACATGGCAAGCAGCTGACTTCAGTGCCGTTTGTGGTGTCAGTTTCTCTGTCCCTTCCGCTACCGCTTAGCTTGCCCGTACAACCACGATCTCATTTCTTAGGCATAATATAACTTGCGGCACAATAGCTGGTCGCTAGCTTTCCGGAACGATGCCCATCCGTTACTGGTTGCTCAGTTGGCTTGGCTTGTGGGCAAATGCTTGTCTTCTTACCTAATGCGACACAATAGTTGAGGTATT